CTCAGCATATACTTTTTTTTGGCATAGTCAAACAATTCCTTCAGATATACAGTGCTGGAATTACATTTCTGCTAGCAGAACATAATTAGCATTTACTGCGGATACATTTCTTCTTTCATGAATCTTTGATTAATAGAAAGTTCAAAAGAACTGCATTTATTTGTAATAGAAATCTTTTGTAACAATATAAATGTCTAAACTGTCACTTATGATCAATTTAATGCACCCTCGCTGAATAAAATAATTAATTACTTTCTTTCAAAACTAACCCAAAACTTTAATAAATTTACTTTGATAATAATAAACTTTAATAACTTTTTTTTGCACATAGATATACAGTGCTGGATTAACTTTTCTACTGTCAGAACATAATTAGCTCACTTAACGACATTGATTTATTGTGTTATTGTATTTCATGGTGCAGTAAACAGGACAGATATGCCGCACAGCGTGTCTGCACAAGTTGGGCTCCAGCCACACATTTCACTTGGCACGTAGTCTGTGGTCAGTCAAATCAGGCTCTGTACACTTTGTTAAAGAGAAACATTCCCGTCCCAAATCATGCTTGAATGACACGTAGTGTACTAAAAAATAAATAAAATCACACAGGAATAAGTCTGTATAAAGACTTGCAAAGCCAGAATAAACATAAACAGTCATGTATCGCTGGCCTGGATCAAAACCTGTATTTGTAAGCACATGACTAATTTAACAACGGGGCATAAAACCAACTGTATGAAGATAACGATGCTGGTTTGTGAAAATGGAGCATTGAAGAACAGATTCAGTGATTTGATCAGTCATAATAACGCCATTTCACAGAAATAATACGCTAACTTCAAACATAAAACTAATTAGTAAACATCCAAATGAAGGGTAAAGTCCTAAAACAGAACAATCAATGGAAATCTGCCAAAGCTAACATGGTTTTATACATCTATAACAAACTTTACAAGCTGTCAATATTTTGTAGGTCTTTATTTTACACAGAAAACAGGATTCAGATGTTGATCCTTGTACAATCAGTCAATGCATGTTTTAGGTCAGAACAAAAAATTAAATGTCTGAGACAAGCTGAAGCAAGACCCAGCATCCAATTTCAAGATGCAGGCGACCACATCAGATTACACAATAATCTCAGAAGAGATTAAAGAGTCTCAGCCGGTGGTCACTCTGGGAGAAACTCGTACAGAATGACCATTACTGAAACCTACCATCTAAAAATAACACGCACAGAAAGAGCACATATGACAAATACATATGAGATGAGCCTATTCTTGACAATAGAATGACAGGTTTTTCGACTATCTGAATGTTGAGTGCAAATACATTTAATCTTCAGCAAATCTCATAATGAATATTTATTTTTCATATATTTGTACATTATAATGTTGTGATCCCTACATATACTAGCAGCATTTAAAATGACAGATTTTTATTTTTATTAGGGTTTTATTTGGACAAACAATACTGAATGTAATAAATATATATATATACAGTGGGTATGGAAAGTATTCAGACCCCTTTAAATTTTTCACTCTTTGTTATATTGCAGCCATTTGCTAAAATCATTTAAGTTATTTTTTTTTCCTCATTAATGTATACACAGCACCCCATATTGACAGAAAAACACAGAATTGTTGAAAAAACCTAGTTAAACATCCATTTCAAATTTTGGGGTCAGTAAGATTACTCCAATCTTCAGTCTCTCCAATGATCCTTCAGAAATCATTTTAATATGCTGATTTGGTGCTCAATAAATGTATTACCAATATTGAATGTTTTGCTGCTTAATATCTTTGAGGAAGTCATGATACATTTTCATCAAGATTCTTTGATGATCAGAAAGTTCAAAACAATATTTATTTGAAATAGAAATCTTTTGTAACATTGCACATGTTTTTACTGTCATTTTTGACCAATTTAGTGCATACGTGCCGAATAGGAAAGTATTTGTTTTTTGCAAAACTGACCCCAGAGTTTTGAATGATAGTGTAACGAAGTAAACATGACATCTTAATTACTTAAAAAGCAGTGCACGCAGTCTCATGCCAAAGATGCTGTAAATCAATGCAGGAACACTGTGTCCTTCAGCTACGTCACAACAGTCACACCCAACCCTTGTGCTGTTTGTATGGTTAGGGATTTACTGTGAGTGTTATGTATTCTGGTAAAATGTCAACACCCCATATCAGTGTAGGTGGAACTGGAAGTGCAATACAACCCATCCCAGACTGTTCAAATGAACTCCTCTGAACCTCATGGGATAAAGACGAGATGGGCATGACAGGCATTGACTGTTCATGTCAAATGTTATACCAATTGATATGAAGCCGATGGTACATCATCTTATGAAGCTGTATGACTTGTCATAGAGATTGATGCATGGTGTAAATGGCACCTTATGACTTCACTGACTACTTTACAACACTCAACCTTTCCTTTAAAAGTAAAAAAATACTCCTTGCAAAGCAACAATATCAATGTGTCCATATGTGAAACAGCCTTTGCTTTCTCATATAGGTTGTTTCAGGAACACAATGTTCTCTTTGCAAACTTGTGGTGGATATGCAGTAAATTTGCATCACATTTACTTTCTCGTCAATCGTCAACCCTGTGGTTTTAGTCAAGAGTGTCAGAGGAATGCTATGAGATGTTTGTTTTCTATAGGACTGATTCTTTGACTCTTGCATGCTTTTGAAGCACTGGGACTCCTTCCAACTGCTCTGCTGCTGAGGCACATGCAGTTCCTTTGACTGACTAAGTGAGCAAGCGAGAGAGCGAGGGTGTGCGAGAGGTTCGGCTAAGTTAATTTGCACGGTGGTGGGAGGGGGAGACAATGGGAGCTCTGCCAAGAGTAAGGTTGAACACAGGCAGTGGTCGCTAGACAGCAGAGTACAAAATGTTCTCTGGCCTGTTTACTTCATTCTGAAAGTGTGTACTTCATTTCCTTCAGATATGTGGGTTGATACAAAATACTTTTAGGAAGCTGGCATGTCTTTTGGTGTGATGTGCATTACTCATAATTTAAAAAGCATTTTGATCATTCTTTTAGAAGTAGTTTAAATGTAGCTTTCATGAAATGAATTGGTCTCACTTTATTTGAAGTGTTTTTACTTCTAACATTTAAATGCAACCGTTGCAAACAATGCAACAAATATTGTGCACATGTAAAAACGTGATGTTTTTGTAATTAATTGCTAAACACATTAAGTACATTTTAACAAACAATTGATGTAAATACATAGTAGTTATAGAATTTTTTTACTTTCAAAAATGCATTTGCCTCTCCGTAGGCCCATTAAAATTAGTTTTTTTTTTTTTAAATACAAAATAAATGATGACCAGTTCCAGGATGTAAGACACACAATTTTCTTTAAATATTCATATCTACCAAAAATATGTTAATGAAATTGTTTAGAGAAGAAATAATGCTCTCAAAATAAAAAAGAACAAAGTTAGTTTATCATCAATATTTTATCCTGCAATGTCAAAAACTGAAGAAACTTAATGTTTTGTGCAAAAGAGGAACAACAGAATTTGTTGTTTTGGCAAAAGACAAACCTTGCATTTTAAGCCTATGAAATATGCGTTTTCAAGCATTATTTCACTAATATAATTTATAGGGTTTCACTAATATCATATATTCACCCTTTGTGGGTCCTTACTTCTCTAAAAGTACTCTTTATCATATCTTATTTATCAGCCCACTAAATATGAAAGTGTCCATCAGATTTCTTAATGAAACAATAATCATCACAAGCAAACAGCTCATTACAGAGACCATGCAAGATTATAGTCTTTTAGAACAAAGGTGCCATTACAGGAGTTTATCATTCCTCTGACTGTGTAAACAGAACCTAAGAACACTGTCTTCACTTCAAGCAGTTTTATTGACCACCATGTGGTCCTTAAGAGCACTCAGAGCTGTTTTTGTTGTCTGAAGACGTTACTGAAGCTCAGCTGGTACAAAATGATCACTCTTAATAGTTCAGTGTCTATGGTTAATTATTTTAAATGGTGTATTTGATAGCTGTGTACAATAAAACCGATAGCCTATTGTCTTCACAAAATATATATAAAAACAATCCCTCCAGCAAAAACAACCGGAAAACCCTCTCAAGAGCTATGAAAAAGAATATGAGATAGATAACGTTATGGAAAAAGAAAACACGGAACCATTACTATAGTATCAACTAAAACCAACGTCAATATAGATCACTGACGCTCATCACGCCTAACGTTACATACATCGACTGGAAGATCTGTTTTCCCCTTTTCATCGCTTATTATTCATCCCACACGTCTTATCTCATATACAAATGCTCCAGGAAAACAAATGCCTTACCTTTTCATCGCGGAGTTCACCATCTCTCAAACCGAATCACTGAAATCCGAGTTTTGAGTTTTGTATTTGTAACGCTTGAATAGACCGCAGACGCAACTGTCGTCCGAACTGCAGCTTGTTTATCTCTGTTCGAAAGCGGCTCGACTGTAATCTTTGTATAGGGCTGAGTGTCAAAATAAAAGTCACGGCAGCGGTAGTTTTAATGATAAATAAATAAATAAAACAATATCTATCTATCTATCTAATTACATAAATGAATTCGAGTAAAAAAATTATAAGATTAGATAGATAGATAGATAGATAGACAGATAGATAGATAGATAGACTGTATATATATATATATATATATCTGTGTCACACACACACAAATATATATACATATATATATATACACATATATATATATATATATATATATATATATATATATATATATATATATATATATATATATTCTATCGCTCGCTCGCTCGCTTGCACTTTCACACACACACACACACACACACACACACACATATATATCGCTCGCTCGCTTGCACTTTCTCTAAATAAATAAACACCGTATTCTTAAAACGTATAGCGCTTAAAACGTTAAAGAGATATGCGGACTGTCAGCTCAATAAGAAAAAAACTACATTTCCCTTTGTTTCCTCTCGAATAGGACCTAAACAATATCCGGGTCAGAGGAGGCGAATTTCCGCGCCTTTTCGTAGTCGGGATGGGTGAGAGGGTTAAACAACCTGCAATATTTCAACCGTATTATCATATTATGGACTAAATTAAACTTCAATACACATACTTCGAATGCAGACGATTTGGTGGCACAAGATAACGTCTAAATATGTTGCTCCCGTCTGACGTCGCCAGACTTGTGCTGGGTAAGGTCACTCTTGATCTGTCCCTCTCTAGGAGAAGCTAGCGAGCTAATACTCCGTCCCTAATTACAGTTTGTGTAATTATGTGATTTGTCTCCAGAACTGCTGGGTAGTTGTAAATATTTAGACCATTACGAAAGGCTGTGATGTGTCAAACTGCTGAGATGATCGATAAGAGAATTTTAGTCTGCTATTCTCAAATGAAGATATTTAAATGTGAAATTATGTATCATTCACTTTCAACTTTTAGGCTACCTGCAGCAAGAAGGGCTCACTGCCACAAGCCGAGCCTTCATCTATGAGAGTCCAAACCTGAAGGAATATGCCGAGCACAGCTCAGAGGACGGGGTCCTCCCTGCCTGTGTGTTGGTATGTGTCAAGTTTGATAATTGATGATTGATAACAGGGTGGTAAACATCAATAAATTATTGGTGTGTGTTTAAAAGATATGTTTACTAAATAACAATTTTGCTATTGTTGATTTTTCTTCTTTTCCAGTCTCTTTTTGGAAAAAACCTGATCACGATTTTAAATGAATATGTAGCTGTTAAAGCAAAAGGTGAGTGCCCTTAAAAGTAAATGAAATGTTTTGATATACACTGTGAATCTGTTTCCGCTTTAACATGTTTATTTCATGTCTTCTGCAGAAACAAGTCAAGAAAATCAAATCCCAGCTGTGATGACATCATTATGGAAAAAGCTTGACTTCACACTCAACCAAATCAAGTGAATGAATATTTGTTTTCATTATCACACTGAATGTTCAAATGTTTAAAGTATTTTTATTCAAAATCGTCCGGTATTGTCCACAGGTCTCTGCAGAATTCTCCTGCAGTGCAACTGAATCAGCGACGTGAGTTTTGCTCTTTGTTTGAACATTTCATTCTAGCTGTTTGTTTTCTTTTTATTTATTATACAATTATAATGCTGACTTTCTGACTTCTGATTCACAAAAGCAAAAAAGGCCTCTAACACTAGCTTGCTCTATTCATTTTCTATTTTATCTGTTTTCTTTTTATTTATTATATGATAAAAAAACCTTGCTACGTGTATGCATTAAGCTAACTGAGACTTGTTACAGCACTTGTATATCATTGCTCTTTTGTTGATTTTGATTGCTTTTATTGTCCTCATTTGTAAGTCGCTTTGGATAAAAGCGTCTGCTAAATGTCTAAACGTAAATGTTTGAGAGAAATAGTTTTCTTGATGACTTGGAAGTTGGAATTATTGAAATTGTATAAATATAATATATACTATATATTATATAGTATAAATATAATATATACATATGGCATTAAATGTAAAAATACATGCATATTTAACATACACTACTGTTCAAATGTTTGGGGTCAGTAAGATTAATGTTTATTGTCACCAAGGCTGTATTTATTTGATAAAAAAAATAAATATACAATTTAAAATGAGCATTTATCTTTTTTTTATTGTGATTGCAATGCTAGATTTATATGTGATTGAATGTTTTTGTGGAAACCATGTTTTTTTTTATTCTTTGATGAATAGGAAGTTCAGAAGTAGAGAATTTATTTGAAATGGAAAACTTTTGTATCATAACTGACTTTACTGATTATTAATTTATTTAAAAAAAAAAAAACGTACAGACCCCAAAACATTTGAACAGTAGTGTAATTTATTTATTTATTTTTTCTGTCATTAAGTTCGCACTATGAATAGCATTCAAAATATGAGACGTCAGCAGAGACCCTTGTTGGCATCACAGTCTCCCATCACTGGGCACCCGCCCGTGACTTCAGCACTCCAGTGTGTCCCCAGCACTTTATCCACCCCTCAAGGCATGCTGGGACATTCCACCCCAGTGTCTTATACTTCCCAGCATACCAGACCTTCCACTCTCTGCCTTAGTCAGCCAGGTGAGTCCTGAAAAACATGTTTAAATCGCACATTTGTATGAGATTTGTAAGTACACTCTTTACATTTTGCTATCTTACATCTTTATAGGGGAGTCACCATTGCAGATACTGGTCCCTGATAATAGACTGAATCCAGGTCCTTTGTCTCCAGCCCGCAGGAAATGGTAAGATAAAAGTGGTGATGACACCAGAAGTATGTTACAGTTTCGCTCTTTCTGCCTTGTCCAGATCGATCTGTAACAATAATTTATTTTAAATTAAAATAGTAAATTTACAGTAAATTTAAATTAAATACTGTTTTCTGCTGCAGTGACTCGCCGAGGCGGAGAGGAGGTGGTCAATTATGTGCCATCGGGACCAACAGGGCCACCGTAGTGTCCAGCACACTCGTCGTGGAATCTCAAAATGAAGAAACTGTGACGGAGAACTTATCTGTGAGTCAGACTGATTCATTAAGGGTTTTTAAAAATGTTTTCAAGGAGTTTCTATTTACTTCTGCTTAATTGAAGATCATGCTTCTTTTTTAACAGCAAATAGTTATAGAAAATGCCAGAGAAAAAATTCTCAATGATAGATTCTTGCAAGAAAAACTTGCTGAAAATATCAACAAAATCTTGGCAAGGTAAATGCTAAAAAATGGGCAAGAAACAACTTCAAATAACAAAAAAATTACATTGAGATCTTATTAAACACATGTTGTAATATCACTTTAACAGTGATAATACCGGCAGTGCTGTTGAACAAGAGCAGTCGATTGATGAAATCCTGGGCCTCCAGGTGTGTGAATGCACATCTTTTACTATTTTTTTATATCTTGACAGCCATATCAAGCCTTAACCTGCAAAAAATTGTTTTAGGGGGAAATTCATATGACAAATGATGCAATCCAAGACATATTGGCACAGACAGAGTCAGACCCAGCATTTCAGGCACTCTTTGACCTCTTCGACTATGGTAGGTTTGAGCAATTGATTAAACAGAAAATCATATTCTTTTATAAAAGCCAAACTGATTTTTTTATTATTCAGAAAGGTCTCACTGATAACCTTTCATCTCTTTTGAAGGGAAAATTAATACGGATGAATGCAGTGAACAGGCTGATGGGAGCTTCAGTACTAGTACTAGTGCACAAGAGAGTGACGAGACTGGGCATGTAGACAGCGCCTCTGAAACAGGTAAGATGGATTTTGTGTTGTAAAGCAGCACAGGTAATTTCCTGTGTATACATTTTATTATATGCACTATGGTTAAAAAGTTTTGTTTTTAAAGAACTTTCCTATGATCTCCATAGCTGCATTTATTTGATTTAAAAAAACAAACAGTAAAACAACAAAATTATGAAATACGTTTACAATTTAAAATAGCCTATTTTAGGGCTGCACAATAAATCGCATGCGATATTTAATGCGCATCTTGTCAGAAAGCCGGTTCTTTAATCAGCAGGTAATTCTCCATCACCCACAGGCTTTCACATTGAGCAGCATTAACTACACAGAGCCGTTGTTC